ACCCCCCCCCCCCCCCCCCCACAATAGTATAGGTAATTATTAAGGCCCCTATAATACTGCTTTGCAGCTCAGCTCTCCAATCTGAACCGTACCGTCTCAACCCAAAGCCACACAAAGGGGCCGGGACACCTTCGGCTTCATCCACGTTGCATCCTCGTGGCTAGAAGAGAACTGTCGACTGATCCACCGATGCATCTTTTGAGGCCAAGGTGTAGTAGTTCGTGAAATTAAAGAGGCCTGGAACAAATTTTGTCCCTATTGACGCCTTGAAATCACGACTTTAGGTCCACCGCTGCAAGCCTTTCTGCATTCCTTCGAACGGAACGGCATCTCAACCTTAAGCCCTGAACCAACAGGTATACAATCGGAGGCGAGAAGGTGTTAGTTAACCCTGGTTCATGGTTTAGGGTTTACCTGGACCCCAAAAGCATGTGAAGTCATAGCCTTTTATAGGTGTTAGGTCGTGATCTACCTGCTTTTAAACTTTAGGACTTGGGGTGTGGGGTTAGCGGATCTAAACCCGGGAGTCCTGTTTTTCCGGGCAGGGGTAGATGAGCTTTGATTTCGAACTGTGGTTTGGGTGGGTGGGGGGGTATTACTAGCTTGTATAATCTGTATTATAGACTGAAGGTGAGGATCTTACAGACTATGCATTACTTTTTTCAAGGAGCAGAACGGTTCTCTCAAATCTTTCCCTAACCCCTCAGGTACCTACTATATAGGGCCCTAGGAACTCTAGTACCCTATATAGTAGGTACCTGGGGGGTTAGGGTTTGCTATGACTGCTATGACTTTGTTGCTAAGGAGCTGCGCGCTGATAGATTCCCCGTGCCGAAGGAACTTGGGCAGCCTTGCAAGGAACCAGGGACCAGGTCAAAGGAAACTACAAGTGGGGAGTTTAGGTTATATTGGGCTTCTATAAGGCTTCTACAGGGTATATAGACCTGCTGTAAGGCTCCTATAACGGTAGCTACCCACCTGAAAATGTCCTAGACCAGGTTTTGTTTAAGGTTTGGGGTTTAGGCTTCGGGTTTTGGGGTTCAGGCTTTAGGGTTTTGTGTTAAGGCAAGTTTGGGGTTTAGGGTTTACGGTTTTTGGACAAGGCTTTGGGTTTTCAGGGTTTACGGTGTTGGGATAAGGCTTAGGGTTTGGGGTTTAGGGATAATTGAGATTTAGGGTGGGGTGCGGGGTTGCTTCTGCACGTGCATCACGAGAATCTGACCCCATCATATAATGTATTGCCGGGGCCTAGTTAATTACCCATATCATTTTGGCAGCTCCTCGTCATAATGATAGTGAAATGGGCCCCAACACCCTGTTCATGATCATGTAGGCCCCTAAACCTCCTTAAAGTGACAGGTGTTGGCGATGTTGGGGGTTCACGGCAAGCCCCGCACGACCTTGGCCGCCTGGGTCGGCTGCAAATTCAGTGACCGCGGCTTCCATATCCTTGGGTGTTTCAAACTAGTATAGGGGGGCCTTAAGAATTAGAATGTAGGGTTCCTTTAAAGGGATCCCTAAAGGGTTCTATAAGGGATCTATGATAAGGATCTATATTAGGGGTCTTAATAATTAGAATAAGGTTTTGGGGCCCATTATACTATTACTATAATGAGGAACTCCCGAAATACTACCAGTAAATAACTACATACAGAACAGCAATGTACCCCAAAATAGAATACACAGTGAGAGATCTAAGCACTTAGGACTTGGGGTTTAACCCGTGGTTGTGGGGCTGCTGAAGTTAAGGGTGATGATAGGTACAAATGGCTCAAGTTTGAGAGGTTAGAATTCAGGGCCACGCCCGCACGGAAGTAGCGGCTTACAGTTTAGGACGAAGAGGTCGTGCAGAGATGAGCTGGGCCCCTAAACCCTCAACCCTAAAACCTAAAGGGTTGGTTTAGGGTTTAGGGTTTAGGGTTTAGGGCTGGCTGCCTGCAGGATCGAAGGTATGGGGCACGTTGGCTCGGAGACTGAGATGTAAGTAAAGGAATCCGACAATGAACACGAAGCCATGGAATCCTGGCCCAAATCATAAGGACTACCTTGAAAGCCTAAATGGCTTATGTACTCATAGGCCCCACAGTCGTTCCTTTTTGTGGCTTATATTTAGGATCCTATTAGGTAATCCCAACAAGGAACTACTATGGGGCCTATGGGTAGGGCTTGAAGCCTACACCCTAAAGCCGAAATCGTCCTCCATGTCCGAGTTGCACAGGCCGCGTTATGCGGGGCACCTTGGCTGGGGGAGGACCATCCTCCTGCACAGGCACACCAGCGATTTGGGGGGTTCTTCTTCTTCCGGTGCGGCTAGAGTCTCTCAGACTCGCCATGAATTCAGCATGGATTCGGGGTTTATAGAGTTTAGGATCTAGGCTCTATGGTTTCGGGTTTGGGGTACACGGCGTGGGCTTTGGGGTGTAGGGTTTAGACGAGATGCCGGAGTTCAGACATGCAGCATACCAGGCCAAGAAAGTGTTGTGGGCCCCAGTTGTGGGCTGTGGGTGCTCCTGGCTCGACACGAAAATCGTGATCCTCTGTGTACATGGGTAGTTCTCTGAACTAGGGTCCCTTTTAGGGTCCTTTTGTATAAGAGTGCCGTACTATATTGGGGACCCACAAAGGGACCCTAATTTAGAGAGCTACCGTTTTTAATTAAAAACAGACGCTACCCACATCCAGATCGAGGGGTTTTCAGCAATCGAGCTGCGCGGCTTTCGTTGCAGTGACAGACTAGCTGCACAGTCTGAAGTCTTGTGTTTCAATGAGTCTAGTTTAGGGTTTAGGGCTTAGGGCTTAGGGCTTAGGGCTTAGGGCTTAGGGTTTAGGGTTTAGGGTTTAGGGTTTAGGGTTTAGGGTTTAGGGTTTAGGGTTACATCACCCTTCGGCCCAACATCGAGAACCCATAGGTTCTAAACCCCGAACCCCTGAATGCGGGATGGCTTCTTTGTTCATACGACTGTCGTGTGGTTGAAACCATGGGCCCCTAGTATGGGCCCTTAACCCTGGGATCCTTGTACACCTACTATATACCCTATATGTACTCCTAAGGGTCCCTAGAAAGGCCTAAGGGTCCATATTAGGGGCAGCGCAGGGACATGGCTAGGGAACTTGGGCATAAACAGTTCCACGCGAAGTGTCACAGGCCGCGAGAAGCAGGATATCACAGCAGCTAGAGTATGAGGGATAATCTGGAGCGATCAGCGAGAGACTCCGTGACAGGTGACCAACAAACTTTAAATATCACCAACCACCCTAAACCCTAAACCCTAAACCTCTAAACCCCTAAACCTCTAAACCCCAACACCCCTAAACCTCGAAGCCCCTAAACCCCTAAACCTCTACACCCTAGAATCCCTACACCCCCCAGTCCTGCTGTGCTTGCTCATCCTCCCCGCCGCCGGTGGCCGAATGAAACTGGGCAAGGCCGAAGAGTCTCCGACATCTGAAGGCCAAACCTGAAATCCCTAAACCGGTTTAGGGTTTAGGGTTTAGGGTTTAGGGTTTAGGGCTAAACCCTAAACCCTAATCCCTGCCTGTGGCCGAAAAACCTACCTATTTTAGGGTTCCCTATTCTGGTTTCTACATATAAGTCCGTAAAAAGGTAGGTTTGGGGGGGCCGCAGATAAACTCTAATCCCTAATCCCTAATCTAAACCCTAACAAACAGGATCCCATGAAAAGTGTCTAGGCTTTGCTACACTGAATTTGGGACCCTCGCAAATATTATCATGATTGGCTGTGTCTTAAGGATTAAAGTAACCAAGTCTTTCTAAGTACCCTTCGTTTATACCTGTGGCCCAAAAGACCTACCTGTTTAGGGAACTATACATAGAAACCATACGGTTGATGGACAAAATTCTTCATGACCCAAATATAGTATAGTACCATAAATCCCATAGTTTAGGTATCTAAGGTCATGCAGGATTTTGTCCATCAACCGTGGTAAGGAACCACCAAAAAGGTAGGTCTTTCGGCTACAGGTAGGGTTTCCGGGTTTCGGGATAAAGGCAGGGTTTAGGAAAGGCTGAAACCCATAGAGCCGATCCCTACTGATACCGAGGCCCTCCTAAACCCCACACCTTAAAGCCTAAGCCCTAAATCTTAAAGCCTAAACCTTATGCTCTTATAAAAAATAAACCCTAAACCCTAAAGCCTAACCTTGGAACCTAAAGCCTAAAGCCTAAACCCAAAGCCTAAACCTTAAACCCTGAACCCTGAGCCTACCAACTCGACCGGGGGCTGGCTTCTGCTCCCAAGCCTGACAGCCGGCAGCAAGAAGTCCTGCCCCTTTCAACCTCTAGCCCCCGAAATCCTGGGCAAGAAACGTCTTCCACGGTTTAGGGTTTACCTGGACCCTGAAGAACCTACCTTTTTAGGGCTCCTTATTATGATTTCTTTATATAAGTCCTAAAACGGTAGGTTCTTCGGGGTTAAGGTAGGGTTTAGGACCGGTGTTGGAACAGAGACTTCGTGAAACCGCATGCAAAACATCGTCGTAAGTCCTTCCAAATACTAGCCGCGACTAGCCACAGCCGTAGGGAGCTACAGAAATGATTTAAGGCTTTGGCACAGTCGCTTTACAGCAAGATCCCAAATGTAGCAATGAAGCGGGTGGGTCTAGACTATTGATACCATGAAGGAGGTAACCCGAAGGAGTATTACTACCATGTAACCATTCCGGCACCTGCATTAAACCTCCGCCATTTTTTCTTTTCTCAGGAGCTGCAGGTTAAATATAGGGGCCTTAATAATTCGAATAGGGTTTTGGGGCCCATCATACTCTCTCTCTCTGTCTCTCTCTCGCTCTCTCTCTCTCTCTATATATATATAATAATAATAATAACAATAATAATACGAATAATAGTAGTAATAATAGTAGCAATAAAAAGGAAAGCCCCAAGTAGTATTGGTAATTATTTCGGCCTCTACATTAGGGACTCTCGGTTCTCATAGACCAGGAGTCTTGCAAAGCTGGGCTTCTAGTGTCGATCCATGGTTTAATGTAGGGGTCTTAACAATTTATAGTATGATATACCCCCTAACCCTATTCTAATTATTAAGGCCCCCTATATTACTGTTCTCATAGCAGGGTGCTGGGTCTTGCGGCTTGGGATCGTGGGGTGTGGATGTGGGGCTTAAGGTTGCGGGTTC